CACATACACATGAATACCATGTACAACACACATGCATTTAAACACACATAAAGGCCAAACATTGTCACACACTTGCATAGCAGCCCATACATACACTCTCACATACTCAGAGCCAATGTCTGCCATGACTTGGAAGTGACTCCCCATCATTTAGGTAGTAGCTCATTTGATTTCACAAAAGCACTATTCAATGTGGGAGGCTACATAGAAGCATGAACATCTGGAGGCAAAAGTCACTAAGGTTCATCTCGGAGACTAGAAAGTATACACTCAAAGGAGATTCTGCTTATAATCCTGATTAGAAATGACTGCAACTGAGACAAGGCACAGTGGCACAGGCCTATAATCCCAGTGGCTCAGTCTTGCTCACGCCCCATGCTGTGGTGGAAATGGGGTTACCCTCGGTGGAATGGGCTGAGAAATAAAAGCTAAGAAAAATAGAACAGCGAACAAACCACAGTACACAAAAAAATAGTTTCAAAAGCAGGGGCAGGACAGCCAAGCCGATCAGGATGGATCAAACTTCTAGACTCTGGCCAAATGGAGCTTGCTTCTGCTTTATTTATATTCGGAAACATCAAAGGCCTTCCATAGAATGTTCTTCACCAAAAAAGGTTAAAGGTAGGTGGGTTGTCCAGTTCCCAATGGGTTATGCCCACCTCCGGATCTACTGCGAGGTATTTTCCTAGTAGAGTGAAGATAAAGGTCATGTGCATTGGGCAATCTATTGCTGAGGGAGAGCCACTGATAATTCAGATAATTCACAATGCCAACCTAAATCTCCCTGGCTACCATGCGGAGAGAAGATTCTCAAGTAATTCACGGATGGCTTCCCGCAGCTCAAGAGGCTGAAGCAGTAGGATCACAAGTTCAAAGCCAGCCTCAGCAATGGCAAGGTGTTAAGCAACTCAGTGAGACCCTGTCTCTAAATGAAAAATACAAAATAGGGCTGGAGACATGGCTCAGTGGTTGAGGGCCCGTAAGTTCACTCCCCAAAAAAGAAAAGAAATGAGTGCAATTGATAATAGATAAGCTGAGGTGTGAAAGAACCTAAAGTTATTCTTTTTCACTAAAAGGAAAGCTGGATCATTATTCTGGGGGACTTGCTGAGGGTAGACAAGCCCATCTACCTTCCCTTCCTGTTGAGAACCTAGTGTCGGGATTGTAGAGATGCTATATCCGAAAATTCCCCACAGAAAGTCTGGAAAATTTATAAGATCAGTGCAAATTCTAATAGAGTCTGATGATCAACCTGGCATGAGAAAATGTAGAAGAAACTAAAGATAGTAACTCTGGAGAAGGGAGGTCAATAAAGTTAGAAAGGTTATGGTAACACCCACCTCACTTGCATATAAATATTTTTAGTTTTAATGGATTAATTTATGTAAATTGCTTGCCACATGCTTGGTGCATAAGAAATTCTCAATCAATGCTAGCTACTGTTAAAATAGAACAATGTCCACTATTTATTGTGTCTATTTTTCACCTTGCCAAGCATTTTATCTTAATTCTCCCTAAGAACCCTGATACTTAGAAATCATTTCACAATCTCACAAATGAGAAAATGTACTCAGATAAGTCAAGAAGTTTACAAGAATGGAGTCAGGATTCAAACTCACATCTTCCTGATTCTGAAGACCATGTTCTTACCTGGATGCCAGGACTCCTCACGTGTAGAAAGGTAGGTAGTGACATTTTCTGTGGCTTCTGCAGAAAGCACTGTCCAGTTAATGTAAGTCACAAAAATATGTATTTTGCTTACATATTATTATTTACAAAATATATCAATTAAAACCTACCAAAAATTAAGAGGGAAATGTCCACATAATTATCTTAAATGTATAGAGACCTAGTAACAGCTTCAGTATAAAGAAGGCAAAAAACAACATAGTTAAAAAGAGAAATAGAATAATTCACAATTATACACCTGCACTGAAGAATTTGATGCCACTGGAAAAACAACTTCTAATATAATATTGGATGCTGGGGCACCATGTGACCAGGAAGCCACAGCTGTACATCATGAACTGTTGTATCTGACCTCAGTCATAAGATCAGTTGTGCCAGCGACAATCCATGTGAATGGTAGTAAGTTGAAGTTCCCTGATCAGGGAACTTCCTCATCATCCATCCCTGCTGTACCAGGGCCCCTCCTAATTCATTTATTCATTCATTCAAACAAACCTATAAGTGTCCCCCAAAAAATCATGTGTTGGGAACTTCATCCCTGTGTGTTGGGCCTTAATGAGAGGTGTTTAACTCAGGAGGGCTCCACCCTCATTAACACTGATTATAAAAGGGCTAGAGACTGAGAGTCAATCTCTTGCTGTCTCATGCATACTTTGCTGCTCTGTGATGGCTTCTTCCATGTTATGATGCAGTAAGAAGGCCCTCACCAGATACAGTCCCTTGATCGTGGACTCTCCAGTCACCAGAACTATGAAAAATAAGTTTTGTTTCTTTATAAATCACCCCACCTCTAGTATTCTGCTAGGGTAGCACAAAACAGACTAAAGCAGCTGCAATACAGCTTCTTTTGGAGAAAGAAAACAGTGGCAAAGGAAAAGTCTGCCTCAAGGGAAGAATTGTGTACATTCCCTTTGTGCAGAAAAAAGATGTGGCTCAAAATTAGAATATATACAGGAACTCATGTGCAGTGACAAATGGCTTGACAGAGTCTGGAGGAAAAAGATTGGTACGTCTGGATTAAAGGCACATGAATGTCTAAATAGGGTGGGCACGAAGTAGGAAGATCTTGGATGCACATGTGCCAATTACCAGGCACAATCTGGCTCTTTTCTTTCTTCCTATAATTAAAAGCATGCATTCAATGAGTAAAAGCTCACAGCTTGACAGAGTCCACTTAAACTATTGACACATTCTAGGTGCTGGGTACATCCCTTCATCCTAAAAATGTCAAAAATACATCTGTGTGCTTTTTTGGGTTAGTCTTAGTTGTTTTTTGTCGACTCGTGTTTTTTATTCATTCATTCATTTCATTAAATCGGTTATTTGTTAAACACGTTATATGGAAACTGATGTTTTAGTCTTCTTTCTTCTACCTGCTCATCCTGGGTGGTATCGTCCACTTTCATGACCTCAGTTACCAACTTTCTGTATGCTGATGGCTCCCACATCTCTTTCTAGAGCCTGGATAGTCTTCATTTCAGCACGTGTGCTCTATTTGGACGTTTTCATGTTAAATGTGTCCTTTCGACATTGCTAAGTGTGTTCATCAGCTTTCCTTCACCATGACAAAAATGAGATAGATCACTTGTAGAAAGCTTCATTTTGGCTCAGGGTTTCAGAAGTTTCAGTCCATGTTCACTTGGGCCAATCACTCTGGGCCAATCATCACTTGGCCTGTGATGAGGCAAAACATGATGGCAGGTGTGTTGGGGGAGATCAAAACTGCTCAGCTCATGGCACCTGGGGAGCAGAAAAGAGGGGAAGGGGCCAGGGTTCCAAAGTACCCTCTAAGGGCTTGCCCCCAATGACCCACTTCCTCCAACCAGGACCCACCTCCTGATGTTTCCACCACCTCCCAATAACCACCAACCAAGTCTTTAGCACCTGTCCTTCTCTAAATTAAAGCAGGCATGATAGGGCATACAAATAAGACCATACAGGCTATTAGAATATTGAAAAGCCTCTATTTACCAGTTGGTAAATAGCTTTTGCCCATGTGCTGTGAGTGCCAACCGCCAGACCACCATCTCCTCTCATGGGACCTTCCCTCACTTTCTCATGGTCTAGCAAATGAAGAATAATACTGGTACATCAGGGGGCTTCCAGCTCTGACCCTCCATCACCAAGCCCCAGTCCAACTGCCATTCATTCCAACTCTTCCCAGGCCATATTGGTTATGCCCTGGAGATAGGTCATAAATAATAAGTCTCTAAGTAAACAATCTCCCATCCAGTGTGTCCCTTCATGGGCTGTAAACTAGGCTACAGGACTTCAAAAATTCTGGATTAATGTCTTGGTTGATCCGAGTGAAGAACCATCATTGTGAAGGAAGAGAAAAGCCTGATGGTGAGACTGCTTATTGAGAGGCTCTTGGAGACCGAGCAAAAGGCCTACAGCTGGGATGTGTTGTAAAAAGCCAATAACCGCCTGCCAGATGCCAAAGGAACTCCTCATTTCATATTTTCACTGCTTCACAGTCCTACCTGGGCCCGCCCAGTTAATCCCCCACCAAGTGAGCGAGGAGACACAGCAAGGTGCAGGAAGGAGGCTCTGGGAGGGCTGGGAAGAGAGACAGCCATTTTGGAGGGTGGGGGCAGTGAGTGAATCAGGGAAGTGTGGTGGGATTGCTGGGCAGGGCTGAGGGCTCGTTGTGAGGTTTGCGTTGGTGAATCTAAGGTAGGGCCTGTCAGCAGGACTGTGAGTTTTTCCTTTTCTTCCAGCAACATTCAGCTGCTCAGGTGCAGACACAGGGAAGGCAGATAGAGCCCTGGGTGGGTTTGGGCAGTGCATACTGTAGAAAAAGAGAAGGGCGAGGGAGTTGAACATGTGCCAAGAAGTGATGTCTGTGATAGACCTTGGAACCTTAGTGGGGAAAGAAAATATTTTTTGTTTACTTTTTTTTGCATTATGTATATCCAACATTAAGGGTTCCAATCAAGTCCTTTGGACCTGAAAGTCCACGCTTATTCTTCTATGGTGATACTTCACTAACTTGAGGAAGCACAAGAATTAACTGGGAGCTGTGTCATAAAAGCAGACATCTGGACGTTCCTCTGAACAGAAGACAGGTAATACAAATGGGGGGGGGGTGTCTATAAACCAGGCTATTTAAATTAAAAAATAAAGTACATTGCATGTGTTTTAGGTGAAAGTGTTTGAGAGCAGGATTAGACAGATGGGAGCTGGGTCACCCAGATAATGGTTTACTCTTTCCACTTCCCAGCCATGAAATGGTGATGTTCCAAGCCTCTGGGTTTTTTGACCAGATCACACGACTAAATGCAAGACACGAGAAGTAAAGTGGCAATGGCTGAGGTGGTAGGTTCAGGGACTTTATTTCTCCATCTCCACTGGTTCCTTGCAAAGCACAGGTACAAGCACAGCCCTTGATCTCCACTGAAGGCAGCTTCAGCACGGCTTCACATCTGATGCATCTGTTTTCCAGAAAGCCAAAGAGCTGTGTTCTGTTGGGGAGAAAAAGATAAACGTTCTAAGAGAAATGATCGTTTCTTGAATTTGTTAAGTAGCTAAGCCAAATCTAAAATACATGTTACAAATGTGCAGAATAAATATGATTGTATGAATGATACCATTTAGTGTGGGGTTTAAATATTGGAGAGAAAACATACAGGCAATGATTAGGCACGCATTTCCAAGAGAGAAAATAATGGGTTTTAGATAACTCTGACAGTCGTGATTAAAAGAGAAAAAAAAAATACTGTATCATCCCTTTATTTATTCTTCAATGCATAACATTGCTGCATCTGTCTGAAGAACATGCAGAAGAACAGCCTGAAAAAATATATCAACAAGGCTCTGGTTTGTGGGGGGTTTTTGTTGTTGTTGTTCTTGTTTTTGTTTTTGGGGGTGTTTTTGTTTGTTTGGTTGGTTGGTTGGTTTTTTGGGTTTTTTTTTTGTTTGTTTGTTTGTTTTTTTGGTAACAGGGATTGGACCCAGGGGTACTTTTACACTGAGCCACACCCCTCTGTCCTTTTTATTTTGTATTTTCAGACAGGGTCTCGCTAAGTTGCTTAGGGCCTCACTACTGGCTTTGAACTTGTGGTCCTCCTGCCTCAACCTCCCGAGTCACTGGGATTACAGGCCTGCACCTCCGACCCCAGCCCCTTTACTAATATTTTTCTATTGATCTATGCTAGGCTTATTATACTTTCCCAGTTTTAGTGCTTAACTTCTCACCAGGGCCTCTGCCATCTTTTGCACAATAACATTTTATTCCATGCAGTTCTAACTGTTTGTAGTTATAATGTAGATATACTGTCTTTGGTAGAGGATTTACTCCATGTCGTGCATGACATTTCTAATAATCAAGCCTACCTTATGAGATGTGCATCATTTCCTTCTTTCCCTCTGGTTGCACTGCTCAGATCCCACTCTTCTTCACTCCATCTGCTCTCACCTGTCTTCTCCCAGCTGCCAATAGAGGGCCGCCCACTTTCCCGGAACATTTCTAAACTTAGAACTAGCAACAGCTTCAGCCTTTAGCTGGGTCTCCCTTCCTAGTGACAAAGATACTTACACCCTAAACCTGAAACCTAAAAGGTTAGCATTTAGTTCTCAAAATGCTAGTTATTATAACTTCTTTATCTCACACAAATTTAATATCATCTTCCCTAAAAATATTTTGCTCTAATGAATATTTTGCTCTAAAGGATAGTTTTCAAACTAGGCATGATGAAGGAAAGAAAAAAATTATAGCCCTATAGACCAATTACTATAGCCATGAGTTCTTTTTCATTTGGGACAAAGAATTATTCAATATTTGATTCAACATTATTGTTTAATCCTAACTTAAAATTATGTCAAATATCATAGTTTACCTTGACAGTCATTGTGTAAACCATGATGCTGAATTTAAGGAAAAGAATTGGAATTTTTTTTTTTATGCAAGTGGAGACAATAAACCACTTCTGGCTTTATCTGATTGTTTTTTCCTGTCACCAGTCTTGTGGCCAACAGTTGAGGTGAAGCACGCCTTTGATCCCAGCAATTCTGGAGACTGAGGCAGGAGGATCACAAGTTCAAAGCCAGCCTCAGCAACTAAGCAAGTATCTGGCAATTTACAAGACCCTGTCTCAAAATAAAACATAAAAAAGGCTGGGGACGTGGCTCAGTGGTTACGTGCCCTCAAATTCAATCCCCAGTACAAAAAAAAAAAAAAAATCTCGATAAGGCGTCTTACAGTCATTATATAACACAAGTGCTAATTATGGCAAGGTAAATCCTAGCTGAACACAGCGGTGTAGACTTACCCTTGAAACATTTGGGGATTTCAATGGTGCCGTCTATGCACTGAGCCTCCTCTGTATAGCTACACTTCTTTTCCTTATTTTTGCAGAAGAAAGAGACTTTTTCACCATGTTTCATTCCATCCTTAAATTTTTCCTGGAGCTTCACTCTCTCTCCTTGGTAGAGCACAGTGGCTTTTTTAACAGATAATTTACAAGATGCTGAAAGAGAAAGTGTGTAGTTAAGACTTAAGAATTCAGTGAATCTTTCTTAAAGACAATGTATGTTTGAATTAATAGACAAGTACACCTGAAAGAAATGGGTCAAGGCAAGGGAATTCCAAGAAACGAACATAGTGGACAATGTCAGTATGATTGCTAACAGCCAACCTCTATCAATAGAATCACCAATCATGGCCTTCCACATGCCTTTCCCTATAGTAGCTACTAAGGTCAGAGCAGAAGTTTCAGCTTCTAGTCTTCAGTTTAGAAAAAAAAAAAAAAAACTTCATGTAAGCCTACACTGCCTCACTCAGATCCCTTTTATTAAGTTGGTGTATCCTATCAGCTAGCCACTGTGGTCCACAATAGCTCACAAATGATCCTTTCTCTTAAAAAACAAAAAATGCCTTCAGCCATAGGGAGAGCACTTCATTCAGATGGTTATGCAAACTACCCCTACTACCACCCTCAGAGTCAGGAAAGAAAACAGCCCACAGCCAATGACTCATGGACATGGGGTTACAAAATGCAGATCCCCATAAACTCAGAAACAATTTGTGCCCCAGAGTTCCTGGTATGATGAAAATGAACCAAACTCTAGAAGAGACTACCCCCTGTTTAAAACATAATCTCTGGATCAGCAGCATCAGTGTCATCTGGGAACTTGCTTGAAATGCATAAACCAGGTCCCATCCCAGATCTACTGAATCAGAATCTAGGGGTAGAGCCCAGAAATCTGAGTTTAAATAAGCCCTCTAGGACATTCTGCTGCACAGTGAAAGTCAAGAACCAGTGCTTTGCCTTATCCCTCCTGTCTCACTAGCTTTCTTCTGAGACACTAGCTTAAGAAATCAATGGCGCTTTAATCCCTGTCTATTTCCAGGGAATTCCAACCAAAGACACTAGTCATTCATCGTTTTACCTGCTGAGCCTAATTTTCTATTCCTGTGTAAACTGTTCAGCCCACAGCATCCCGAGCAGAGATACAATGCTAGGATGCTATTCTTTGCATAAATGTGACACTGACTGGATCAAGACTGGATAGACACTTAACTCTAAATGACCCAGCATCTCAGAGAAAATATGCCGGCTGGTGACATATCCTTTAGCAGAGAGACCCTGGTGTATAATCAGGCCAAGTGTAAGTAAGCAGAGAGGCACAGAGATGGGAGAGGCCACTGGGAGGTGAAAAGAGTCGCCATAGTTCCTGACTTTCAGTTTCAATCCTCAGAAGAACCAGTTGTATTTCATTTTCTCCTCTCCAGGCATCCTTTTTATCACAAGCCCCTATTTCTTTGAACTAGTTTGAATGTGTAGTTGATTTTTTTGCAACACAAAGAGCCTTGTGCGGATAGAGAAAGAAAAAAAAAAGATGTTTACAGGCAAGGATTTAAAAGCAAATATAAGAAGCCCACACCATCTTCCAAAAAAAAAAAACCACAGTTTAATCTCAAGCAAGCTTCCTTAACATGAAGCTTCCCCATGTACATGAGAGGCCTAAAGTCTTCCACATGCCAATAGCTGTGAAGCAAGTCTGAGAAACAAGTGGAAAATGAATAGAACAAGAAAATAGCAAAAAAATAAAATAAAATAAAATAAAATAAAAAATAAAATGCCAAGCAAAGGCGGTCCACTGGATAAGTTCAGAAACCTTGAGGACCTTGCCCATATTTTCATACCTTTACAGCTTGGCTGTGCAGACCAGTTTCCCATTTTGGTGCATTCGACTTCTTCCGGGCCATCCAGGTTATATGTATCATGGCATCCATACGTGGCTTTATCCTTGTAAGACAGTACTTGTTTTGCAGGATAGTTTACAAATCCATTGTCTGGTCTTGTTGGGAATGGGCATTTTACTTCTATAAAGTTTATTCAGTAAGACATATTAGTAATAAATAGGTTGCCCAGTAGTTTGAGAATGGTTGGTTACATTCTTGTCTCTGTTACACCACTGAGTTACTGGGTGTTCCCAAAACTGGAATGCAATTTCTAGGTATGTTATGCTGAATTCGGTCTCCATTCTCTTATACTTATGGGACTCTGAGTATTTAAAAAATAAATACCACTTGGAATGTAATTAATGACACTCTAGTGGGTGTTTTGGGCTTTCACATATAATCATTAAGGTGTCATTGCAAAATTCCACACATTCTAAGATAGTAGCTTTGGAAAATAATCTTTCTTATACTCAACAAACCATGAAATTAAAACACAAAGACCCCATTGCACACTTTGCACATCATTGTTTAATTCCGAAATTTTAAGCATAATCATCATTATTGTCTTCAGACTCTGCAAGAAGGCAGCATGAAATATGTCCAAGAAAAACAGTGCTGCTTTCCCAGCTTCCTCAAGATCCTCCCCAGTGAAGCCCCGACTCGTATCCCTAGTGACTGCAGCTCAGGAGAGCAAGGCTGCAGCCAGAAGCAGCCTGGAGAGGTAGTTTAATGAGGTGACATGTCACACTTGTTAATACTTGATGCATCTAGGTGAAGGGTTGAGAAAAAACGGAGAAAAGAACCTACTGCTCAGGATTTGGGAGAATTAGTGAGATGACATTTATGTGACAGGAAACAAGTGCATGGCTCATAGTGAAGTGCCCCCCAAAAAGGTGCTAGCTTTTGTTGTTATTGGTAGTTCACCCACATTAAAATCCATTTATGTTTTGAATTATTCAATAGTTACCCCTAATGTCTACCACTGGAGACGTTAACAGTCCTTAGCCTAACTCCTTGCATGCATGATAAACTCTATCATCTGTCATTTGTTATGCATATGGCAAATCCAAAGATAGTGATGACAGATGAAGTGAAAGGAGGAAGAATTTTCATACTTTTTTTAGAGAAAATCAAACATCTCTGTGATTTTTTTTTTGAAGTTTAGGTCAAGATTGCAAAAGTGTCATAATTGGAGTGCAGCTCAATTTTGATCTTTGTCTCCTAATGCAGACTTCTCTCCACTAGCCTCATGGAAATGCTCGACTGTCTGTGGACACCCCTTGTCCTTGCATGGCTCTCTAACTTTGCGAGGGTTGTGCCCTGTGTGGTACACCTGTTCCTCATGCTCCTCTTCTCCAGGGCCCGTTCAAGGGTCACTACCTCTGGGAAGATTTCCCAGGTTGCTCCAGGCAGTTAGTTGCATAATATTTATTTCATTTCAGGTATTATCTGGTATTATCCCCTGTGCCTGGCACATAGCCTGACACATGGTAGATGCTCAGGAAACATTTGTGGAATGGGTACTTTGAAATACTCTATGAAAGTTGGAATTTTTTAATACTTTTCAAAACTGGGAATCCACACTACCATAATTATTTTGTCATATCATTCACTTACCCCTGCATTCTGGTAATTCAGTCCAGTTTCCATGAGCTGTGCAGGTAATTGTATTATTTCCAAACATAGCATAGTTCGGCAAACATTCAAAGACTGCTGTGTCCCGGTAGAGGGAGTTGTTCCCAACTGATGGCTTATGAACATGCAGTGTTGCAAATTTAGGTACTGGTGGTGGAGGACAGGTTATGGCTGGGAAAAGAAATAACATCATTTCTATGAAAATAGTTGAGTCTTGTAAATGTACTCTTTTCAGGGAGGAAAAAAAAAAAGGAAAATCCAAAAATGAACTTGAGAAAATGTGAAACTTGATCAAATAACAGGGAAATAAGAATCAATTATAAATGCCAAATAAGAAAATGCAATTCCCAAATTGGATGTCCAAACCAGTCAAAAAACTAAAAACTGAAATAAATTTAAGTTTTGCTGCTTTTAATTTGTCCTTTACAACACAATAATTAGGTTTCCATAAAATCTTTGATCTAAATGCTACCTTGGATGATGTGTCTGGAAGGTAGAATTTATGGAGAACATGGCTAGAACAGCATCCTAAAATAATGACTGAAGACAGCATTTGGTACAAAGTTGTGACGTCTGAGTTCCATTGCTAGCTCAGTTTGTTTGTTCTATTAAATGTCTCCTGCTTTTGGACTTTGTATGCATGGGGCTTATACATGCAGCCTCCAGGACACAGAGACACGGCCGAGGCTTATCACCATGCCCTGACCAATAAGGAATTTCAACAAGTTCAGAGACAGTTACACCAATCCAGAACAGAGTGACCCAATTGTGATTTGACTTGAAATATCTTCAAAGAGTGGTCCATGGACTAGCAGTTTGGGCACTGTATTCAAGTTGCATGCATATTAAATCCTGGGAGCGTATTAGAAATGTGGAAGCCTAGCCTCCACCTTGGATGCTTGAATCAGAGTCTACACTTTAATAATATGCGCAGGTGATTCATATGTACATTAAAGTGTGAGAATCACTCATTCAGATTAGATTGAAGATGAAGTAGCCTGTTTGAAACTAAAAAGACAAGATGAATTAAATCATTGGTATAAAGCCACTTGAAAAGGTAAACAAATTATTTATAGGAACCTAGGTGATTCCTACTGCTGAGTAAAACCTTTACTTAATTTATCCTTAAAGAGCTTGTTTTTACAGTTTGGTTTTTCTAAAATTAGAATTTATTTAGAATTGCTTTACTTTTCTACTTGCTTTTTTTTTTTTTTTTGCTAGGATCGATCTCACTGAAAAGTTAAACAACTTTTGCTGTTACCTATTCTGATACCTGGGCCTCCTGGTCAAAGATTGGACTTACATAAAATCACCAAGTTAGGAAACATGAGAACAGCCCTCCTTGCAGAAAAAAAGGCCCATGCTGAGTCTGACTGACATAACCTGAATGAGCTCTCCCGCCCCCGCCCCCCAGGACTCTGGAGGAATCTATCAGGAATCCTAGACTGCAAGGCCTTTGGAGGGCTCTTAACTCACCCCTTTATTTCTCATCATTCCAGAAGAGGAACACCTACAAAAGCTTAAATTGAGCTACAAATATATCACTCTGGGAACTTTAAAATATTTCTTAGGGGCCTATTCTTTTGAGAAAACTAATAGGAGAATGGTTGGAGCATTCTAAAGTAGTTTTGAATTCATGTGCAAATGGCATAAACTTTTCTAAGAAAATTACTTCTACTAAATGTTCAACTGAGCAAAATATCATGTACATAACTGGCACATAATATAAGAAATGCATTCTAGAACTCATCTGTCATTTATTTTGAGAAATGTACTGTATTGCAAAGTATTAATGTTTCAAAGTAGCTGTCCTATCAATAGGAGGCTGGGACAAGGTACTCATCACAGTAATGTGCTAGGCACTGCACGGCTGCCGTACACTCTACTGGTTGCCCCTTGTGGTTATTTGTTGACAAGTTGTGACTTGTGCTCTTGTACCTCAAAGAATATTCTAGAGAAAACAATTATGCTGAATGCTTGAGGAAAATTAAATTCTAGGTATCTTTGAAGAATGTTTGACCATGAATTAAATGATCATCAGACATTATGAACACAATTCCATAAAAAAATAAAATAAAGAGTGGAGCCAAGGTGCCTCAACCAAAGGCATTGGGGACCTGTAACAACTGCAGTGGGGATGTGGATAAAATAACTGGATGGTTTCCAAGTAGTCCAGTTTTGTTAGAGGTAAAAAGAAAAAAAAAAGTATTGGCCTTCATTCACTCAAATAATTGACATATGTGTTCTAAGTGCACAGATTATTCACAAATTCATAAACAAAGACAAGAAAGGTCTCAGAAACTTGTTGACTTTCCAGAGACATCTGCTTAGCATATGATGCAATGAAAACCCACCAGAAGGAAAACAGCACAATACTCCTAAACCTATTATATATACATTTTGTGTGTGTGTGTGTGTGTGTGAATGATACTATATTATCCAAGTGTCCTATTTATAGGACAATCTGTATTTTCATTATTTAAAAAAAAAAACTCTTTTTAGTTATAGATGGATACAATACCTTTATTTTGTTTATTTTTATGTGGTGCTGAGGATAGAACCCAGTGCCTCACACAATCTAGGTAAGCACTCTACCTCTGAACTATAGCCCCAGCCCTGTATTTTCATTCTTAATGAAGGATGCATAAGCTTCAGATTATGATTTCCAACCTACTTTAATACACTTTGTCAATTTCCTTAGGATATTTGCAGAATTGAAAATGCGGAGCTTCATGGGTTACTGTGAAAGGTTACTTTTATGTCTCCATCACTAGAATCATTCTCTGGGGACAAAACTGTCTTCTTCAGCCTTACAGCCTCAGTGCTGAGCAGGATCTGGCATATCCTGGATCATTAATTCATGCTTACTAAAGATGGGAATGAATGAGTGAGGTTCCAGAGCAGGGGATGGGGAGGTAGGGGAAATGTCAATCTCACGGCTTGTGGAAGTTCCCCTAGTCAAACTGACAGTCCCCAACAAGCCAATGCCAGGCATATCTAAACCCTTGCCAAAACACCATGGGGGCTTTGGAATTAGCAAACCCAGCAATTACTGGCCCCACCAGGTAATGGATATGACATGTGTTCTTGAGTAAAATGTCTTCTATCATTCTAGTGTGGTTGATCATCTAGAGGGATTGATCATCTCAGGATGAACATAGGGTGACCAACCCTCTCACTGAGCCAGAAATGGTAGGATTCTGGGACTAAGGAGTTTCTGGGATGTGGGACTCTCAGTGCTAAAAACAAGACATTTGGGGACAAACCACTAGTCACCCTACCCATGAGTGAGACCCATAAACTCACGTGCACAGACGGGAAGCTCTGGACTCCATTTTCCTTCCTCAGTGCATTGAGAAGAACTAGTTCCATTCAGATAAAACCTGCAAAGAAAAATTTCAATCTATCAAGCTATCCTTGGCATCTCAAATGTTCTGGGGACTGAATCCAGGCACTTGTACATGCTGAGCATGTGCTCTGCCTGAGCTCTACACTCGCAGCCCCTATAGCCTCTCCTGCCCCCAGAGACAGGGTCTCACATGATGTTGGCCAGGTTGGCCTCAAACTCCTGGGTGAAAGTGATCCTCCTGCCTCGGCCCCCTGAGTAGCTGAGACTAGAAGTGTGCACCACTGTACCCCAGCATTCTCCATTCTATGGACTTCTACCATCTTATCCACTGTACATGCTTTTCCTGAGGATCTTAATTAATCTTGGGGCCCATAGAGTGTCCCAGAAAATGCTGCAGGTGAATTGTTGGATATTTCCATACTTGTTGATGTAGAAGCCAAACCCCTAAATCACTCACTTCTTCTCTACTCTTTACTACACCCTCAGTACCACTGTAATATATATTAAAAGTGGGACTAAGCTTGTTTTGAATCCAGCAAGTTCAATCTAAAGTCTAGAAATGAAATATTAACCAGTCTTGATGTCTAACTGTACTCAGCTGCTTAGTTTCATAAAAGTCCTTACCCGGTATTACAAGCAAAACTGATCATGTTGGGATATTCAAAAGTTGTATAGCGTACAGCTCCGTTTTCTAAGATTCCAGCAAAAGGACATACTCTGGCTGTGATTTAAGAAGACAAAGGTAAATCTCTGCTTGTAGAATTTTCATTAAAACAAAGACATGTGAACTTGTTTCCATCCTTTGATTCAGTAACTCTACTAGTAACTCTTCTAAGAGAGCAATCCAGACTAAGGCAAATGATACACGCACCAAGGTGCTCATTACACTCTCCCACTAATTGCAGAATTTGGATTGTCTAGATTTTTACTGTCAGGATTGTTTTAATTAATCAAGATAAATCAACAGTTGAACTATTATATATGCAATATAGTATAAACTATGAAGACTCTTGGGATGTAGTCAATTTTTATAACATGTTGATGAAAATAGAAAAATACAAGATTATACACACACTATGCAATAACATGAGGTATACACATGGAAATTAACTTTAAAATGATATTGTCAGGGGCTGGGATTGTGGCTTAGTGGTAGAGAACTTGCCTAGCATGTGTGAGGCATTGAGTTTGATCCTCAGCATCACATAAAAATAATAAAATAAAGGTATCGTGTCCATCCCAACTAAAAAATTTTAAGAAGATTTAGTATTAATAACTTAGTATTCCAAATTTATTGCTGATTTAAAGTAAAATTTTCCCCAGTGATGGCATAATGATTTTTTCATTAAAAATTATGTTTAGGGCTGGGGAAATAGCTCGGAAGTACAACACATGATCAGCATGCACGAGACCCTATATTTGATCCCTAACACCAAAAAAATAAAAAGTTTCTTTTTAAATTTGAAAATGCATATTAAAATCACTTGCATGAACATTTATAATTATAGCAAACATTATGTTTATATAATCAAAATAATTAGATCTTAGATAGGCTCATTTAGCTATTTTTACTGCCTAACTTCTATGTATAATTCCCAGGAATTCAATCTGTTTCATTGCTTAATGTTTGAGTATAAAAATAAGGCTAGCATTATAATATAGAACCGTTCTGAGGAATAAATAAAAGCAACTATTTACAATAAAACAATAGTGAGATATATAATTTATATTATTAATTTTATATATGTTACATTTATTTGCATTTAATTGTAAATGTAGACATGATTTAGGTGAAATCTATATTCACTTCGGTAATTATTCACTATGCTTTTATTTTGAGGCAACATTTAAGGATAAGGTAATTCTCTAATTTGTTTGTCCAAGTGTCTCTTTGGAATCACTTTGTAGCTCAGAGTATCACCACTTGTCTTTTAACTTCTTCAATGTTTCCTTTGATGGGTCCTGGTCTCTTTTCTTAACCTCCCTTAGGACCAGGCTATGACTCTGTGCTCTCCTCTAAATTGTACCCATTGTTCTTGCTCTCTCCTGCAGAGCCTTCTGGCCCTCTTGTTCCTCCACAGGCAGCCCCTGCTGGCCTCTGCACCCTGAGCATGACAAGGTATATTCCTCATCAACATCCAGAACCCAAATGAGGGGAGAGAAGGTGCCAACTTACGTGTGCATTTCATAGTGTTGATGGGCCACATCCCCGTGAGAGGACAGGTAAACCGTCTCATCATTCCCCGGGCCACATAACCTGGCTTGCATGTGTATACTATCTGCTCCCCTGGTTCATAGTATGTTTTCAATGGACTGACTATGGAAAATGGTATCTCTTCAGGCTTTGGACAGGCTGAAATAGAGCACCAAGCAGATGGTTAAGAAGTCTCCACGGGCTGGGGTTGTGGTTCAGTGGTAGAGCACTTGCCTCACACTTGTATGTGTGAGGCACTGGGTTCAATTCTCAGCACCACATAAAAATAAATAAATAAAAGTCCACCAACAATTAATAAATTTTTTTTTTAAAAGAGAAGTTTCTGTTTAAGTTCAAAACACACATGGAAAATAGTCACTGTTACCAATAGTAAGTATACCAAATTCCACACCAAAGCCTTCATGTGTCATATCTCACCTAGTCTCCTCAACAGTCATTTATAGCGAGTATTACTATTATCCCCATGTCACAGGTCTGTACCCTGAGGCTCAAGTTGGCTAAGTGTCTTATGGAGGAGCTTTAAGTATATCAATATCAAAGAGTAAATGCCAATTCAGTCTCTCCAACATCTACTCTAAATTTAAAACTATGATTGATCCCTGACAAATACTAGGATGTTGGATATATTAATTATTTTCTCAAACAAAAAGTACTTACTCCGTCCTGCAATAACCACATGGCAGAGAAAACTCGAGAGCAGGATGAGCACTGGAGAAAACATTGTCGATGATTCACCCTGGCACCACCAAAGTGGGATCCCTCTGCTAAAAAAGAGAGACACAAATATGAACATGCTTAAATATTAAACCACTTTGGGGGTGTACTTTTATCTCTGTAAATAGGAGATAAAATGTCATGTTTTGAAAGGAACTCTGAGATCTCCATTCTTCAATCATTTACTCCACATGGGCGAGTCTATTGTGAAATCTTGGGTAGATGGTTTCCTCTTTGGTACGTGACATTTTTCTTAAGAGCACATAGTAGTCCATTATCGCCTCTCGCAGAACCCTGATAATTTCCAGATTGCCTGAACCTCTCATTCTCCATCTTTTGTTTCCTGTATGTTGTAGATGGATCACCAAAATCTCCTGTCTCACCAACATCCTTGTAATATAAATTTAACTCAATCTATGTCTCCATCTCCACATCTCTAAAATGATCTTCCAGTTTCCAACTGTGTGATTCTAAAGAACATCTTCAAGGAGACACCTACCACCTTAACACATGAACTTGACATCTTCTTTCACAAATATGACTATTTCTTCCCAATTTCCCTTTTACATGTTGTTAATAATAAGCTCCTCCTGGTGACTCCAGTTGTGACCTTAGAGTCCTCCTTGATTCCTCAATCTCTCATGTCAAATCAATATAAAGTCCTGTTCATCCATTCACAGTACATCTTAGATCTGTCCAGGGAGGTTTCTGGTCTGTTTTAGGGGTTGAAAAGTTGATATGATATAACAGGTTGGGACTCAAAGAAGAAAAGAAGTTGAGTAGGAAGAGAGAATGGGCAATTGCTGATGATGTTGCTTGGGAGAACTTGGAGAGGACCATCCATGACTCCATATTTCTCTAATACATCATTTACTCTAAGAGACTGAATATACAGATGGACATGGCCAGACCATATATGAAAATAGAATGGTCTCTGCAGCACCAAGTCTAGGAAGTGAATCCACAACCTCTGTAGCAACTGGCCCAACTTGAGAAAGACAAACAAGTTCTTCTAATCAGTCACACAGAGGATGCCGCACATCCAATTAGCTTGCCTCCATCTCCCCCACACCATCAACCCACCAGGACATACTAGAAACCCTACATTTTTTTCTGTTATGAAGTTTTCCCACTCTGCCTCATTTTGAGTCTCTGCCTAATACACGATGATGGCTGACTTCCTGGCTATAGCAAGTTCTGAACCAACAACCTCTGTTAGTTTTCACTTGGGTGGTCTTGATTTATACCCATGGGTCCAAAGTTCCTTGACACACATCACTTGATAAATTCTTGGCTCAGGCAGTGATTCTTAAACTACGCTTCTAATGAACACTGTGTTCCATGATAAGAAAAGTAGAAAAGTGTGCTCCTGGGGCCGTCGTGGCTCAGCAGTAGAGCGCTCGCCTAGCACGCGCAAGGCCCTGGGTTTTATCCTCAGCACCACATAAAAATAAATAAATAAAATCAAGGTATGACCAAAAAAAAAAAAAAGTGTGCTCCTTCCAATAGAAAATAATGGTGGTTCTTCTTTTGCCCTTCTAAAGGGAGGGATTCTTGCTAACTGGATAAATTCCAGGTACCGTTTTATTGTAGTGAATTCCCTCAACATGTGGAAAAGAGAAAAAAACGAATAAAGCTGAGAGGTGCTGAGCTGTTCTGCATAATGAAGATCTAAGGTAGATGGAGAAAGAGAGGAATCAACCAGGATTGGCATCAGGAAAAGAAAACTGGGGAAGAGAAGGTTTAAATTGAGAAGAGAATATTTTTGGCAGAAGCCGCAAACTGATCAAATTAAGAGGAGCAGTGAGGAGAGAAGGGTTTTAATGATGTTTGCTAATAGATGTATTCTCTTTCCTGAGGAAGTTTTCTAGAAGGATATAAATATTCTACATTTTATTTTAGGTGGTTGTACTTGCATACCTATAATTTTCCAAACTCATCAAACTACACATTTCATATGTGTACATTTCCTTAATTATATCTCAACTGGAAATCAATGCATTTCTTCCTTTTTTCCTCTCATTTCTTTTGTCCCTCCCTCTCCCTCTCCTGTCTTTCTTTCCTCCTTTCCTACCTCTATATATCTCTCCCTCTCTTCCTTCCTTCCACCTAAATTCAGTCCCAAACTCAAGGGAACCTGAATGGGTCAGTCGTGGTGATCCGTGTGAGGATGGCATCCTCGTGGTGTGGCAAGAGGGGCTGCATACAAGATTCTGAGCCAACAAGCAGATATGTTAAGGATATCAGGAGTGAGGTTTCTCACTGACAAAGGGAAGTGGCTGTACAGAGAGAAGGAAAGTTCAAATGAACCCTGTGGCTTTGGATTGGAGAAAGAGATATCAGTACAATTTTTGCACATGTAGAGGGTGTTTTGGTTTAGATCTGAAATTTCTCCCCAAAGCTCATGTGTTGAAGGTTTGGTTCTAGAGGCAACAGTGTTCAGAGGTGAGGCCTTTGGTAGGTGATTGGATCATGAGGGCTCTAATCCATCAATGGAATAATCCATTGGTAGATTCATAATTTAGTGGGCTATTGGGATGTGGTGGAAACTTAGGAGATAGGTCCCAGTTGAAGGACATAGTTTCTTTGGGATGTGCCCGTGAAGGTTTTATCTAGTCCTGGCCCCTCCTGCTCTCTGCTTTCCAGCTGCCATGAAGTGAGCAGGTTGGTTCCACAACTTGCTGCCCACAGTGATATTCTGCCTCACCACAGGCCTAAAGCAATGGATCCAGCCAACACTGGACTGAAACTGTGAACCAAAATAAATCTTTTCTCCTTTTACATTGCTTCTTTCAGGCATTTTGTCACTGCAATGGGAAGTGGACTAACTCAATAGATAGACACAGAAATAAACACAGATTACAATGGTGTGCCTGCTCATCCATATGATTCCCAGCTCTGTACACTAGGATAGCCTGGGAACTGCAATGCACCCAGTAACAATGAGCACCCCTCGTGCCTACATCTGGGTTTCTGAAAATCAGCTCTCCATTGAAAAGAGCCAGGCTCCTTGGAAAATTGACTCTTTCAGGACTGGGGCAGGGAAATATCAGGAGGTGAAGAACAACTTCAGATAACGCTCAAAGACTGATAGGAACACGCCAAAATGTCTCCGAAGAACTTAAAGGGTCCCTGATCCAATTCGGGACAAGTTCTGTGTCAAATAAATAAAGATAGTAGTGAGTTATCATCCACTGAACAAGATAGGAGCCAAAACCAGGTGTGGTGGCATGCATCTACAATCCCAGCTACTCAGGAGGCTGAGGCAGGAGGATCACTTGAGCCTAGGAGTTCCAGGCTAGTCTGAGCAGCATAGTAACACCCCATCTCAATTTTTTTAAGGTTTTTTTTTTTTTTTAGTTGTAGATGAACACAATGCCTTTATTTATTTATTTTTATGTGGTGCTGAGGAACAAACCCAGGGTCTTACACATGCTAAGCAAGTGTGAGCCACAACAACAGCCCCTCAATCTTTTCTTAAATTAATTTGAAAAATAGAAGGTAGTGAGTCTACTTTGATAGCAATAAACATGTGATAAGTATATGGAGAGATAAGGAAGTTCTCACAGTAGGATGCCAATCAATTGTACAGTAGGAACACTATAATTAGAAAATCATAATTCTGAAATCATCATAGAAATATTTAATTCCGGCAAAAAATAGCAATAGATGGTAAAACTAGAGGGCACAAGTGGGATAAGAAATGAAATGCTCACACAGTCCTAAAAATGTCTCTGCATATAATTATTTATTGCAAAGGAGGGGAAAGCAGAATTTATTTGGGAAGAACCTGGCAGACACCATCTTAATCAAAATTAATGCCATCATTAACAGGACCAATTGGCATCGCATGCTCCCCGCTAACACAGAATGCAATGAGAAGAATACAATATCACTCTGCAATAGTCCTACCCAAAACATACTGATTTGAGTCATACCACAAGCATTGTATACACTCCAGTTGAAAGACACTGCGCAACCTGACTGTCCTGGAATCTTCAAAAAGCAAAAGCTACAAAGGGCAAAGAAAAGACTGAGGGAATTTAGAGACACATAATAAATGGGTGCATCATGTGATTCTTCTGCTATGAGCCTGAAGGGACATCTGGTGCAAATTTTGGATCTTTGGAATTAAAAGGGTATGGAAATTTTTTTTGTTCTATTTCTGCAACTTCTCTGTATGTTTGAAATTGAAATTATTTTAAAATAACATTTTTTTTTAAAAAGTGCTTTTTTTGTGGATTTCTTGAGGGTGTTTTCAGTGGGTTACTAGGGGAGACTTTGCCGGACTTTTTGATTTGTTTTAGTGCTGGGGTTTGAACCCAGCCTCCTACTTGCTAAGCACATGCTCTACTCTTGAGCTACACCCCCAGGTCCAAGATTCTATTCTTAAACTGCACCACATGAGGCCTCAAATTTCATTTGCATCACCCTTTAATAGTCAATGCAATTCTCTTAATCTTCTTTCCCTTCCTTCCCTTTCTCTCTCAACATCATCACCCTGCTCTTATTTGCCAGCTACTGAACTTTGGAAAATGATGCCAAATAACAGTAACAGGAAAATGTAAAAATAACTAGTTAGTCTGAGAGGAGTCATGTGGACCTGTGGTTGTTATTTTCATTTTTATTTTTTGGCTGGTAAAATTTTCCCTTGTTCCTGTAATTAAATGCAAAGATGATAGAAGAAAATCTGCACAATTAATAAATTATGATTATTACTAGTCCTACGTGCTTTGCCACTTGAACATGTCTGAGAACTACAAAACGTTCCCAGAACTCTTCCAAAAACACACATGGGTCTGATGAAAAGCCTTCTGGGGAGACGAGATGAAATTGTACCATTCAATTATTTCCATCTTCCCATTTGGGATACATTGTTCTGTATAACTTGAGTACTGTGTAGTTATCTCCTGACTGATCTATCTTCCTTTCCATGTATTTCAACTCACACTGCAAAAGTTAACCTAGGATAATAACCAAAGGACTGGCTGATTATCAATGTTAAATGATGTTTTAAAGATACAACCCTCCAAGTGTGATTTAGCAGAGCAAATGGAAAAATTATTAAGAAAAAAAATCCAAGGAATTTCAGAAAA